GTGTGATAGACTGTGTTTTAAAGATCGCCACTCCTCAGAGCGGCCCAGCCGAGACAAGGATGTGTGATCACTGGTCATTTCCATGTGGCCTTAGTGATGCAAGAGCTCTGCTAAGTTAGTTGGAAGAAGGTTAAACTTGAGTGGGGTCACAGTCATTAAGTGAGCACACAATTCAGACTTGATCCCAGCCCTCTTTCCCATAGACTCAACAACTTTGTCTTGGTGGTGGCCTGGGTGAGGCCAGCAGGGCCTCATGGGAACCACAGGCCTGGGGACCTGAGTCATAGCTGAGCCTTCGCTAGGTAGGGCAGCCCACTCAACCAAATGGGGATAATCCTGGCCTTTCGGGATGTAGTGGGGTAAAGGATGGGAGATTGTTACGACAGCTAGAGAGATGCTAACAGAACAGAGCTCCTGATTTAAGGCATCTGCTGAGCTTAAATTGAAGTAATACTCTGTTATCAGGAACCTCGCAGGAATTTCAGATTCTGGTGTTAAACTTCAGCCAAGAATCGAGGTTGCTCAGAGAGCTCTGTGAGATCGTTCACAGGGAAATGTCATAGGTCCCTTTAGGTAATTTTAAGAAAAACTTCCTTAACCTTTCAAAGTGGTGGGAAATTGATGTGTGTTGCTGAGCGCAGCCCCAAGAGGAACTTCTGTGGTGACGTTACAGCTGACTTCAGCGAGGGTCAGAGTCCCCGTGGGTGGCCCACGGGGTGCTGTGCTCATGTCTCTCACCCTGGTTGCGTGACTCAAGAACTGTGCATAAGGGACACAAAGCCACACTGTCACATTTTCCCTGGAGGAAAAGGAGGGCAAAAGAGGTGTGCCCATGTGTGATACGTATGCCTGCATGTGTGCGGAGGTGGTGGGGGGCAGCTTGTAGACGGGCTGGTTTATGCTCTACGAGCCGGACCTCCAGTTCGTTCTTCTGATGGAGCTAGTTCCGAAACCGTGCCCTCTGACTGGGCAGGGGCTGAATCCCGCGAAAGGGTTCACCAGCACTTGCCCTTGAGGAGACGAGTGTGCAGGGCCAGGCCTGGCTGAGCGGAGCCCGTGACGGAGAACAGGCTTTGCTGGACAGGGGCTCGCTGGCTGGAGCCTGAAAGCCTGGCACTCGCATCCAGAGATGAATGGCCTGGCCGGGTCCGAGTGGAGACTCACATCTCTTATCTCCACTGCTAGAGAGTAGGTTCAGGAGGGGTTCTGGCCTTTGTCTGGGCTTGCTGTGCCGCTGAGAGCCGGCAGCTCCTGGTGTGTCTCACGGGAGCTAGCTTAGGAAGGCGACCAGGGCAGCATCTCTCACACACCCAGGTAGGAACATCTGACCCTAAGAGTGGGCAAGAGAAAGGAAGGTAAACGAATGTTCCTATTTGATGTTCAAATACCATATTTTTATGCTATTGCTTCAGAGATACTTAGATTTTGTAGTTTGGTTTTTGTTTTTTTGTTTTTGTTTTTTTGGTGACTTAATCATCTATAGAGTAAATATCTAGAAAATTCCAATTAAATGGTGTCTAAAATTTAAAGCAGCAGTCTGCAGGCAAAGCGCCAACATTTCTTTTTTTAAAAAGATATTTATGATACCATCTAGCATTTAAAAATCAACCAGAAACTAGGCTTGATTCTGCTTAATATTTTATATGATTGGACAGCTTAAGTCAAAAATGTTTCTATTTGATAACAATTCTGTGTTTATTCAAAACCATAATTCTACTGTGATGTTAATGGAATGACTTTATACAGCTTTAATTATGTTGGTTTAAGTGCTAATCACCACGTTTCAAATTAAAGTAGTATTTTGCTGATAGAGGTAGACACCGATATGAAAAATGAAAGAATAGCTCATTTTACTGATTGTAAAGTGTTTATTTCAAGGGAAAAGAATGTTCTTTTTCTTAGGGCTGTGGAAAAAAGTAATTTTTTCAAGAGTTTAAGATAGTTTTCTGGGATCAGAACTCGTGCCTATGGAAATTTTGGAGCAGCCTAAGCTACCTTTTAGCTTGATATGTGTGCTAGAAAAATTTCATTATCATGTTTTGTGATATGTAATAAATTCAGGGTGCTGTGTTTAAGCTTCATTTCAGTTCAAGTTTGGGAACCTCTGTTTCCCGCCTTCCCAGACCTGGCAGACAACCCACCCCTGACACCCCACTGCCGGTAGACACCCGACCCCTGACACGCACCCTCCCCTGGCAGACACCCTACCCCTGCCACCACCCCTCGGCACCCCCCGCCCCCGCATCCTTCCCCAGATCCCATGTGAAAGAGTCAGGTCAATCCCTGACTCTTAGAAGATGTGTTTCTTCCTGCGTGGAGTGAGCAAAACGTAACCGTGATTTCTAAACCTCTGCTTTCATGCCGAGGAAGAGTGATGCTTTTTATCCTCCTCTGGTGTCTCTTTAATAAATATGTTGTCATTATTTGTCCTCAGAAGGGGCCTCTTGAGCCGCCTCTCAGTTTTCTCCATGATTTATGTTGCAAACAAATTCTCTGTCCTCTGTCTGTTCACCACACTCTCCTGATCTTGTGTACCATCGAAGACCTGCTGGAGACCGTTTTTGTTTTTCTTATGCAATTATGTTATATGTGTATTTCAGTGAAATGTCAGCCCGCCAACAGTGGATGATGTTAAAAATTATCCAAATAAATAGTTTTCTATTTCTTTTAATCAGACCTAGTCCAAATTGTTGAATGACAGTGAATAGGATTATCTGGTTTTTTGTTTGTTTGTTTGTTTGTTTGTTTTCAAACTCATCGGTATTCCAAGCCCGTGGTGCCTCGTGACATGGGCTCATATATATAATTTACCTGGGGGTGTTGACTTAGTGCTTTGTCGCCTATGTTTATCTTATAGACACGACAGCAGGTGTCTCAAACCTGGTCTTTGATTTGGAAGCCTCAGATCTGCCTTTCCTCCAGTGATCCAAAACCAGACAATGAAACCCTGGCTTAGCTAATCTTCCCTTGATGACTGTGCTCTGGGAAACACTGAACGAATGAGCTGCAGGCTGTTCAACACTGCTGGGCCGGACCTTCCTGCACAGGCCCGCAGCTCTGTGTGAAAAGCTCTCCCCCATTGGACATTAGCGTCGCCTTCTCGATGTTTCCAAGAGAATGGCAAGTGGGTCTGCGTCTAAGCCAGATGATTCCCCTGGCTCAGATGTGCCAGACTTGGGGATCCTGAGCGAGGGAAAGCGTGTGTGTGTGCACCTCCATGAGCGTGCATGTGTATGCTTGTGCGCATGCAGCTTGTGCCTGTGGTCAGAGGGACAGGAGAGAGAGGTACCCTCACTGACCATACCACGAACTATTCTGGGTTTGGTGGCAGGACACGTGTGTCTTTCCCCAACAAGACCATAGCATTCCTCGCCAGGAACCTGAGAGCTCCGAATCCAGGCAGCTCTTGCACACCCACAATTCATGAAACGGAAAGACCCCCCCCGCCCCGCCGCCCCCGGCCCTGCTCCTCTATTCAGAGAATGGATCAAATCAGACCTAGCCTGGTGTACCATTTTTAACAGCATTGCCTCCTCCTACGGAGGAGGCTGGTTTCACAGGAGCTTCTTAGGAAGCTCCTGTAGGACTCCACATTCTAAATTGCCATCGTCACCACCACTGGCTTCTGTGGAAGACCAGTTGTGAGCACCCCCACGCCGGGGGCCAGCGCCGTGGGGCCCGGCCAGACCGTGGCCACCATCCCCACCATCCCTTCTCCTCCCTGCGCCCCTCTGCTGGAGGTTGTGGAGGAAGGGCCAGGAAGTGGTCCCCTCCCCTGACACCCCACTTCTAGGCCCAGTTCCCTGCTGACCACCGTGATGTAGTGTGCAGATCAGCCCTGTGCAGCCAGGGCTCAGGTAGGCCCCGCTGTGGCTGCTGAGAGGCAGAAGGACTGCAGGCCAGTGAGAGGGTCCTGCCCAGATACAGGACAGGGAGCACTTAGGCCTGGGGGCAGGGAGGAAATGCCTCTCTCAGATGCCAGTCTTTTTGTGGAAAAGGATAAAGTGGAGCCATACCGTCCCTGTTAGTCTGCGAGGCAGCATGCTGTTTTTCTTCAAACTGATGGTCAGGACAGAACTTTCTCAGAGCCAGCGACTCCTCCCCCGTGTGTAGCAGAAGCATCTCTGGTGCCTCCCTAACAAAGCTGGGAACAACAGAAGGGCGTCTCCCAGGGCCTGTTGCAGTGGAACCCGGGGCCCAGTGTAAGGAAAGCCAACTGTGAGGGCCTCAGGCAAAGGCCTGTGTCTGCGAGGGGCCAGGAGGGGTCACCTGGTGGGTCCCACACAGCCTCCAGAGGCTGGTGAGCCCTTTTCAATGTGTTGTGGTCTTCAAGAGGATGATCCAGCTGTTGACAAGCTCTTGGCCTGACCCTCCAGGGCACCACGGATAGCCATGGAGGCTGGCACTGCACAGTGGCCCGGGTCTGTGTGCGTGTCGACCCATTCCGTCATGGTCCTGAATGTGCTGGTGATTGCAGTGTGTGCTGTCCCTCCCTCGTTCCCATGGCTTTCTTGCAGAACCGGTGGCCCTGCTGGCTGCTTGGTCAGCTCGCCCCCTCACTCCCGTACTTAGGTCATGGTCAGTGAGTCCTGGCCACCCTCCTCATCAAGTGGATGGGTTGTGCTCCTGGCCCTCTCTGGGGCTCTAGGAGAGGACTCTGCAGGCCCTTCTTCTCTAGACTGTCATTTGGATGCAGGCATGTGCTCTTGGCCATGGCAGACACTGTTCCCTGACAGTTGGGCTATGTGAGAAGGAAGTGACTGGGTCGGAGGCCTCGAGCACCCCAGTCTAGGACCATCTGGAACTCCTGACCACACCCTTCAACCCCAGGGCTTCGGGGACCCTTCAGTTACATTCACACGAGTAGTCACTCCCCTGGGTTGCCCTTTGGAGAAAGCTTCCCTCACCACAGCTGAATCAGGCAGGAGCAGAGCCAGGACCCAGGCCGGGCCCAGCGCACCCATATTGTCTAATCCGTTTTGCCATTTTTGTTGATCTAGGCAGGATTAAGGACACTGCATGACATTGGGCCAGAAATCCGGCGTGCTATATCATGTGATTTGCAAGATGACGAGCCGGAGGAAACAAAACGAGAAGAAGAAGAAGATGTATTCAAAGTAATTATTCCACGCCTAGCTACACACTGGCCACTTGGAGATAGCGGGGCAGGACTTCAGTTTGGGCAGTCGGTGATCCACAAAAGAACCTGGAGAATGCACGCCAGCACCCGGGCCTAGAGGGGCTCACGGACCGTGCTATCCCCACAGCAGACCTTCGGTACCTCCTCTAGGGCCAGGCGCGCTCCCGCCCTGAGCTGGCCCCTCTGTCCCACACTGGCAGCTTCAGAGGAGCCTGGCCACAGCCGCTTGGCCAGTGTGGCTGAGCCTCCTGAGTCCCGCTAGCAGCTGCCCACCTGTGTTACCCCCTTCTTCCCTGGGCTGGCCCTCAGCACCCCCAGCCCAGAGAGCATGCCTCCTGTCCAGCCTCAACTGCTGGGGGCTGCCAGTCAGCCCTGCTGGGTATAAGTCACCTCAACTTGGAACGACGTGAAGAGCACACTCGTGTGACAGCCAAGAGCTTGCTCCCCAGCTCAGGGATCGGTAACCTTCCTCATTTCAGGGGAACCAGCTGCCACACAGACACATCCACCCTGATCTGTGAGACACTCAGATTGTTTTTACAGGGATCCTACGGAGCTTACCTAGAATTTGTGTTTCGTGTAGAAAAAAAATTACCTAACAAAGCTAGCCTGCATCAAATACTTGTTAAATTACCTGGTGTTGTCTCCCATTATTTTGCAGAGAAATGGTGCCCTGCTTGGAAACCATGTCAATCATGTTAATAGTGATAGGAGAGACCCCCTTCAGCAGACCAATACCACCCACCGTCCCCTGCATGTCCAAAGGCCTTCAGTTCCACCTGCAAGTGATACTGAGAGACCGCTGTTTCCTCCAGCAGGAAATTCGGGGTGTCATAGCCATCATAACCATAATTCCATAGGAAAGCAAGCTCCCAGCTCAACAAATGCCAATCTCAATAATGCCAATATGTCCAAAGCTGCCCCTGGAAAGCGGCCCAGCATGGGGAACCTTGAGCATATGTCTGAAAATGGGCATCACTCCTCCCACAAGCATGACCGGGAGCCTCCAAGAAGGTCCAGTATTAAAAGGTAACCTTTAAAATGTGTTTGCACTTGGTGATGTAGTGTCTGTGCAAGGCGCTTCTTTCTCCCCGGTGCTCTGGCACACATGGGAGATGCTCAGGAGGCACTGACCCTCGAACTTGGGAGTGCCATGAGCTCATGGCCTCATCAGGCACTAGCCAGTGATGAATCCAAAGGATAAAGGGCCACCAGCCATCCTGTGTCCTGCCAAAGGGGATGCCCCTTCAAATAACAGCAGTTGCTGTGAACTCTGCCTTCCCCAGTGGTATCAACATACTTTGAGACAGAGGTTGGCAACGTTTGTAAAGCACCAGATGGTAAATATTTTAGGCTTTGGGCACCATACAGGCTCCACTGCAGTGACTGAGCTCTGCTGTTGTACAGAGAAAGCAGTCATAGACTGTTGAAATGCATGAGTGTGGCTGTGTCCCAGTAAAACTTTATGGACACTGCAGTGTGAGCTTCACATGGTCACACGTGGTGTAATATTTTTCTTCCTTTGATTTTTTTGCACTCCTTTAAAAGCATAAGAACTATTCATAGCTCGTGGACAGTATATGGCCTGTAAACCATAGTTCGCTGACCTCTGCTCTAGGAACTAGCCTGATAATCTGCATTTTAAATTTTATTGGAAATACTTAACTTTTATCTTCTCCCTCCCTCCCTCCCATGTTATGCCTTTCCTGGATAGAACCCGCTATTATGAAACTTACATTAGGTATGTGCTCATTGCCTGTGTGTGTTAAATACTCTGTGTTGTGAGTGTAACCAGCTGGCCTCTCAGTGCTGGGAGGGGTGAGAACTTCCTTTCAGGCGGCAACCTGATAGGAGTGGAGCTTGGGGCTGTGGACTCCAGAGGCAGAGGTAGTTGCTTCTTTCTTCCTTCCTTCCCTTCCTTCATTTCCTTCCTCCTTTCCTTCCCATCCCCTCCTCTCTTTCTCTTTCTTTTTTTTAAGATTTCTTTTATTTTAGAGAGAGAGCGAATGTGCAAGCGGCGGGTAGGGGCAGAGGGAGAGGGAGAGAAACTCAAGCAGATTCTTTGTTGAGCACAGAGCCCAACACAGGGGCTCGATCTCATGATCCTGAGATCATGACCTGAGCTGAAACCAAGAGTCAGGTGCTCAACCGAGCCACCCAGGCGCGCTGGTAGTTTCTTTCTAAGCAAAGGAGCTTTTAGGTCCATATGTGCATAGACTGTGTCATCATCCAAGGACTAGTATTCACATGCCAGTGTGCCCATGGGCTAGCCCCTGCAGGCACGCCTCGTGACCACCGTGTAGGGAGAGCCCACTGTGTGCTTCCAGGTGCCTGGCCCTGGGAGGCTGGTGCTACCTGCCACTGCTGGCTGGGTTCAAACCTCTTCTGGGGGCTTCATAAAAGCATGACCCCAACCTCTGAAGACCAGGGACCGGGTCTTCTCCTTTGTCTCCCCTGTAGCCCTCAACATATGTGCGGTGTATCCTGCTCCATATTTGCTGACCCGGGTTGTATTGTCAGCGGGATGATCATTTTGTTGGGGACAGAGAGGCTGGGTCTCTTAGTTTAATTCTATCAAGTGCAGCCTGCTGCTCAGGAGCGACTTGAGAGAATGAAGAACTTGTAGGGAGCACTGTCCTCTCTTTGGAGAGAGTCGATGTAACAGAGCCTGGTGGGCTTTCCTGAGGACTGAGGCCAGGATAGCGGCTTTCAGGGAGATAGAATGACAGTCTTGCAATGTGGGTAGGGCCGTCTTTGAAAACTTGGCAGGTGTCACGCGTGTGAGTCTCCCTGGGGACACTGTATCCCAAACTCCTGTCGCCTTTCCTGGGTCAGAGGTAGTGGGAAACTGGTCAGGGAGCCTCTTTGTTCCAGACCCTGAAGTCACATGGGCCAGAGGAGGAAGGAGCAAGGATCAGAGCAGGTGGCCTCGGAGCCCAGCGGCTTCTCCCTGGGACTGCCGATCGCTGCAGGCCTCTAGGTCCATTTCCTTGTTCTGTTCCACCAAATGACACCCACTCCTTTGGCTCCACAGCCCCCTGGGCATGGTGGTTTGGCACCGGCATTGTGCAAGGCACTGAGAGAGCGGCCCCCTCCCAGCACACACACGTGCTCACACACACAGCTCTGCCACCAGAGGCCTGAACAGTCCAGTCCCGGGGACACCAGGGAGAAGCCGGGGGCACGTGGGCCAGGGGGGCTAGCCATGCACCAAGGCCCAGCTGGGTGCTCAGGGGGCTCGGGCCCTCTCTTACCACTGCAGGTCTGACTCGGGGGATGAGCAGTTCCCCACTATCTGCCGGGAAGATCCAGAGATCCGTGGCTACTTCAGGGACTCCTGCTGCTTGGAGGAGCAGGAGTATTTCAGTGGTGAGGAGGGCTTCGAGGATGCCTGCTCCCTGACCGGGGCCAGGTGAGCAGCACTGTGGCTCGGGCTGATGTCAGCAGGCCTGGCTGTCTCCTGCCCCTCATACTCTGCGGCAAGGGCCCGCCCGTATGACACCCGGACTGCCCGAGAGGCAGGCAGAGAGATCAGCTTCTCCCGGGGCCCTGAATCTTCGATGAAGCTGAGGACTGACTGCCTGGTTCTCAGCCAGTCGGGGTGTCCAGGAAAGCTGGGGAGAGGACTGTAGCCATGGGGCTGTCTGAGCTAAGAGACGGGGCTTGTTAACGAAGATCTCATGTGTCCCTTACCCTCTCTCCTCGCCTTTCTGACCCCCCAGGCAAAACTACAGCTACTACAGCCGATACCCAGGTGGCAGCTGGGACTTCGAGCGGCCCCGAGGCTACCATCACCCCCAAGGCTTCCTGGAGGATGAGGACTTGCCTGTTTGCTATGATTCCCGGAGATCTCCAAGGAGACGCCTACTACCTCCCACCCCAACATGTGAGGCCAGATTTTTTGTTTTGGGTGAAGCCTCCCAGAGAACAGTATGCTCCTCCCCGATCCCCGGCCCCGAGGAAGTGTGACAGATGTGGTTGCACAGTGCTAGGGACTGTCCTCCGTCTGCAAGACCAGCTCCCTGGTTGGGACCCTATCGGTATCAGCTCTCCCTTCTGGCTCATCCGTGTCCCACGTAATTGAGCTCAAACCACTTCCGGGCCATTCTTGACTCTGAGCACGGAGAAAGGCAGCTTGTGGTCCTAAGCGTGCTCAGTACATGGCATCTGAAGAGGGGCTTTTCGTGCACATTATCGTTGTCTTGGAGCCTGGGGTTCATCATGCGAGGTAGGCATGATGTGCAGCATGAGGTTGTCAGGCCCTCTCTGTGGACGGGGTAACTGACCCTCAGAGGGTGGAAGTGAGCAGCCCAGGCCTGTCCCACCAAGCGCCAACCCCCCCCCCCCGCCTCTGGGGGGCCCCTGGGGACTCTTGGTGTCCATCTCTGCCCAGTTCCCACCAGGGGCTTTCCCTCTTACCACGTGTCAGCCAGCGTCCTTGCTCACGGGGCAGGTGTTGGGTCCGCGCCCCCATCCTGGGGCTGGAGGAGTCCTGTTCCGCCAAGAAGAGGCAGGGGGCCGGCTGTTCCCCACCTAGTTTTCTTACGCCAGTGGCCTAAGCAGGGCTGCAGGAGATGTGGCTCACCCCGCAGTGAGGGACTTGGCCCGGGGTAAGAAATGACGCCGTGACCCCTGCCAGCTCCTGGCCGGGCAGTTGGATTTTGCACATGGGGGCATTTTGGTGATGGTTAAAGAATATCCATTCCTGGCGTTTCTGAGGGATGAAGCATATTTCTGAGCGGGACTCCAATCAGCAACCAAAAATAGCCAAGACACATTGGCTCTGAGTCGGCTGACTGTGTGTGCAGTAACCAGTCCAGCTGGGTGGTGCCTGGGGCCCCTCCTCTCTGCTGCAGTCTCAGCCCTGCTGGGGAGTGTCATCAGACCCGTTTCCATAGTTAATATTTCCTTCTGCAGCCCCAAACACGGGCTGCCGAACAGAGCAATTCTGAGCTTCCTGAATACTGGGCGACACACGCGGGTGAGCCCGGCAGAGGCCCCCTTGTCTGTGGAGTGCCCTGCCCTCTCTGGACCCTCCCTGTGTCCCCTACAGTGGCCACATTAATGCCCACCATTCAGAGGCACCGCCCGAGTGAAGTGAGGAACCCCAGTGGGCCAGAGCAGATGCCCTCTTTATCTGTAAGGGCAAATCAATAAAACGTATTTTATTTGCTTTGCTGCCCATCGCTTCCGACCTTGGGCGGGGGAAGGGGGAAGTCTTCTGCCTGTGTTCGCAGTAGCAGTAGAATTCCTTCCTGTGTCAGAGTTGGTTGTGCACAGCAGAGGAGATGATCAGTGTATCCAGGGACGGATTTTCAAAACCGAAAGGCACTACCCGAATGAGAGAGATGGTGGTTTCCCCTCCTGGCTCCGAGCCTCTGGCCCTGGCCGGCTGCCCCTAGGAGGGTCCTCAAGGGTGTGCCGACGAGGGAGGCCCCTGTGTGGTGCAGGGAGGCCAGGCTGTCTGATGAGGACAGCAGCCATTGTGCAGCAATCTGTGTCCCACAGAGGCGACTTGAGGAGGCGGCGGCGACCTAGCACGCCCCACAGGGGTGCCCCAAGCCTGCGTGGCCGGGGCTGCTTGTCTGTTCTCCCCGCACTGGGCAGGGCCATCTCCGGGCTCAGCCCAGTCTTCCCACACTTTTAGATTAGAGCTCTCACAGAACCCAGTTCCTGCCGCTCCGTGCGACTTCCAGGAGGCCTGGGCGGCTCGGCCCCGCCGTTTTCCAGGGTGTGGAGTTTTGCCGGGGCATGAGAAATGCCCTGGGATCTTAAGAAGCAGAGGCTGAGGAGACATGGCTCCTGCCTTGCAAACTGTCAGTAAGGCCCCCACGCCGTGTCTCTAGGGCCAGCACCCTCGAGGGTGGACCTGTCCCGGGGCCGGGGTGGGGGGGGGAGCCTCTGGCCTGTGCTTGGGGGCCCAGAATTCAGACCAACCTCCTGGGCCCTGTGTCCTGTGAAGCCACAAACTCGGGATCTCTTGTCATTGCTCAGCCTGTGCACGAGCCTCTGTTTTGAGTAGCTGATAACGAGACAGCCGTGTTCTCTAACATCGGAGGTGTTCTTTTCCGGTTTTGCCTTCAGTGCTTAGAGAAGCTGGGTCTTCCCCAACCAAAGGATTTGCCTCTTACCTGGTTGAGCAGATAGCAAGTCACTCCCCTTAAAGCAGGTATAAGCGGGGGAGCACCGGCAAGACTCCGGGGGCCCCAGAGACACGCAGGATGCCTGCAGGGAGGGAAGGGGGCAGCAGCAGGTGTTTGCAGGATTCTAGAACGACGTTGTGTTCTTGACCTGAAATGCAGTGTTCCCCACAGTGTATGTACAGGGCCAGGGGCGTCCAGTCAGAACAGGTGCCCTCTGGAGCCTTCAGCTCCACCCCATGAGAACAGGCACTACATTTGCAAGAAACCAACTTACACCTACTAAAAACATCCCTCAGTTGGGCAGCTTCTTCATCCTCCCAAAGTTCCAAGACCTCACTACCTAATGCTTTTCCTTGGACGTGTGACTTGCTTCCTCTTGGGCCCCCCCGTCGAGTGTCCAGGGGCCCACCCTGACCCCAGAGCCCCAGGGGCCCCACAGAGCACCTGTTTCACAGCTGCCGCTGTGCTTCACTTCTCAGCCCACCGGAGATCCTCCTTCAACTTCGAGTGCCTGCGTGGGCAGAGCAGCCAGGAGGAGGTCCCGCCGTCCCCCGCCTTCCCCCACCGCACAGCCCTGCCTCTGCACCTGATGCAGCAACAGGTGAGCCGGCCCACCTGGCCTTGACACCACAGGCCTGAGGGGCCGCCTGTGTGGGACCCACCCTCAGGACACCCCGTTAGGCTGCCAGCAGCAGGAGGGAAGGAGAGAAGCTTCACAGACACTCTGGTTCAATCCGGGAGCAACCCTGCCAAATAGATACTATCACAAACCCCATTTCACAGATGAGCGAGTATCAGGGAGAGGGTAGGTAACATGTCTGAGCTCACACAGGAGGTGCGTGACCGTGTTGACCTATGAATCCAAGGCTGCCAGCTTCCCAAGCTGGGCCCTTGGCCGTGGTGGACACTGTGTTCTGGTACAGTCCCTGACCCAGGGAGTGGTGGCCGCTTGCCTGATCCTGAACAGTCAGTGCTGCCCTTTATCTGCTCTGAGACATGGTTCCTTCATTAAGACATGTCTGTAGAGCCCTTTGTGGGCAGGGCGCCATGGTCATGGGTGGGTGAGCCTCTGACCCTGGGACACAGAGTGCGGTCCAGGGAGAAGGACCTGTCCATGGTGAGGTGGCTGGACAGGGGGGAGCCCAGGGCCTGGAGGGAGGGTGGGGCTGCAGCCCACTCACCAGAGCTTTGCCTCAAGGGCAAGAAGAGGGCACTTTTTCCTCCTGCAAAGAGCACATCAGAGATGCAGTCCACTGTGTACGTGTGTCAGGGGCCGGAAGGCGTGCAGGGAGCACCCGGTCCGTAAATGTGCAGAGCCAGCTCACCCCCAGCTTGCTTACTGCCAACATCCTGAGCACGCGAGCACTAGCTTCCATTACAGGCGTTCCATTCAGGTCTCTCTGCCAACTTGTCACTTTTCTGCCTTCAGTTTTTATATTAATTTTTATTCGTGTCCTGCTTTGTTGTGGAAGGACAAGGCGTGGGAAGGCCCAGCCATCAAATGCCATGAACCAAGTAGGCCTGGAAGTCTCCATGGGCACGTGCGTGTGAACGCCCCTCCCTCTGCTGTCCGGCCCCCATGGGGGCCAGATCTGTGTCTGCACTGCCTCCCACGAGTGGCCATGGCTTCCGGTTGGGTCACGGGCCTCTGTGGCCCTCCATGCAGAGAGGGAATGCCGGGGTGCCTGCTGGGGCACAGCTGGGGGCGGGGGAAGCAGGGCTTGTGCCCAGAGCTCCAGAGCAGACTGGAGGCTGGCAAGTGTGATGAATGGCACTAGAGGAGAGAGGACTGTGTTCCCTCCAAGGGCTGGGAATGCGTTGTTTGCCCCTCGTGTCCTTCCGTATTTAAACCGAGAGCGAACTGGGTGGTGTGTTCATACAGCCCTGGGTGAACGTCTTCCCTAATTCTCCACTGCTCGGCCGCAATTTCACGAATTAGTGGCTGATGCCTCCTTAAGAACAGTGATGAGAATGCATTATGGATTTGGAGAAACTGAAAACAGTCTGCCAGAAAGCCAGATTTTACTGCCTGTGTCCTTTTCAAGTCCTTGTCCCTTATCCGTGGCCACCCCCGTACATCAGTGCCTCCTGCTTGGTGTGCGTGGGGAGGCCTGGGGCCCGCACCTGAGGACCTCTGGCCCCACCTCCTCTCGTCTCTCCCCAGATCATGGCAGTTGCGGGCCTGGATTCCAGTAAAGCCCAGAAGTACTCACCAAGCCACTCAACCCGGTCATGGGCCACCCCTCCGGCGACCCCTCCGTACCGGGATTGGACGCCGTGCTACGCGCCCCTGATCCAGGTGGAGCGGCCAGAGGCCCTGGACCAGGTCAACGGCAGCCTGCCGTCCCTGCACCGGAGCTCCTGGTACACGGACGAGCCTGGCATCTCGTACCGAACGTTCACACCAGCCAGCCTGACTGTCCCCAGCAGCTTCCGCAACAAGAACAGTGACAAGCAGAGGAGCGCAGACAGCTTGGTGGAGGCGGTGAGTGTGCCATCCGGCCCAGCAGAGGGGGACGCGCAGGTGCCATGGCGGTTCTGGGGGTGGGGGGGCTCGGGAGCCGAGCTGGGTCCCTTCTCCTCTGGATCGTGCCCATTCCTCGGAAGCAAAGATGGTCCATACAGCGGGAGTGTAAGAAAACCGCCGCTGCCTGTTCTCCTAACGGAGCTGTACCTAGGATTACATGCGCTGGGCCTGCAGATATCACCAGCTCCTACTGAAATCTTTTCCCCAGTGGGGCTCACTCTTGTTGGGCCATATGTAGCGTTCAAACTCTGTGACGTTTCCAAGCCATTCACATTTTGTCACCTGTGAGGTCTAGCGAACTGGATTGGCTGAGTCCCAAAAGCACATCGTGCGGTTAGTGCCTGAGGGGGCTCCTCTGTCATTTTCCCGGCAAAGGCTCGTAATGCATTCATGCTGTTGATCCTCTGTCCCGGACAGGTCCTGATATCTGAAGGCTTAGGACGGTATGCAAGGGACCCAAAATTTGTATCGGCAACAAAACACGAAATCGCCGATGCCTGCGACCTGACCATCGACGAGATGGAGAGTGCAGCCAGCAACCTGCTCAACGGGACGGTGCATCCCCGGGCCAACGGGGGCGTGGGCCCTGTCTCCCACCGGCAGGACTATGAGCTCCAGGACTTTGGGCCAGGCTACAGCGATGAAGAGCCCGACCCCGGAAGAGATGAGGAGGACCTGGCAGATGAAATGATCTGCATCACCACCCTGTAGCCCCCAGGGAGGGGCAGACTGGCTCTGGCCTCAGGTGGGGCACCAGAGGGCCAGGGAAAAAGTGCCTCGTAGTTAGGAAAGGTTAGGCACTAGTGTGGAGTCCATATTCAATTAGACTTTTGTACAAGTGATGTCATGCCTCACGGAAGCCATAAACCTGGTAGGGGACAGCCCTGCTCCCGTGCCCAGCCTCAGCTGTGGGAAGCAGCAGGTCCAGCCCTCAGAGGGGAGGACCCGTGAGGAGGTGGGACAAGCCCTGCCCGCTTGTCCAGGGCGCCCCCGGGGCTCTCCCCTGCGCCCACCCACCTGCTGGCACGGTGGGGAAGGTCAAGGTGATGACGATCACCACACCTGTGTCATTACCTCAGCCATTGGTCTAGCATATCAGACATTCACTGGGCCCAGCATATCCATTTTTAAACCCTTTCCTCCCAAACACACTGCTTCCTGGTTTCTGTTTGGCTGTTCTGAAATACAGTGTGTGAATCAGGACCTACCTACCAGCCGTCATCTGGAAAGGGGAGCAGGACCTTACACATGAGGTTTTCTGTTATGTGACCCCAGTTTACAAAAGAGAGTGTCACTCAGTCGGTTTCTGACTGTCAGCTCAAGGGCAACTGTAAACTGGAATAATCATGCACTCGCAACCAGGTAAACTTAGATACGCTAGTTTGTTTAAAAATTATAGATTTACTGTACATGACTTGTAATATACTATAATTTGTATTTGTAAAGAGATGGTCTATATTTTGTAATTATTGTACCGTATTTGAACTGCAGCAATATCCATGGGTCCTAATAATTGTAGTTCCCTGAAATCTAGGTATTATTAGCATTTTTACTCGGGCTGTACAGAAGTAGGAGAAATAGAGCCAATTCTCATCTATTCCGTGAAAATCTTTTGGGGATGAAATTTTAAGTTCAAAAGAACTTGACGCTAGAGATTTTTTCTAAAAAATATTTTGAGTCACTTTAATCTACCTTTACACAAGATATACCAGATGACTCCTTAACAACCTTTACTTTGGGCAAGAGTTCCAGGATTTGACAGTGTACCTTCGGTCCACCACGGGCCGCACCTGTCTTTGATTTTACTGACCCTCTGCTAAGCTCATCCCGTCGGTCGAGCTGGTGACTCTGACCCTGTGGCATTCACAGCGGCATCCCCGCTGCCCACACAAGACCTTTTTTGCATCTCTGGTGTAGAAAGAATCGCACAGGGGCATGAAGTCCCTCTGCCCCCGCTCCCTGAGGATGGATGCTGCTGCCGGTCTCTAAATAGGGGTGCTGGGGAAGGGGGGGGGGCGGAGGGGCAAAGCGGTGATCTGCAGGCTTAGAATGTCGGGTCTGTTCGATTCGTATTGTTGCCTTTTCACACAACACTGCTTTACTGTGTGTTCTCTTTGAGGGCTTTTATATGCAACTGAATGAGGGCTGAAGTTTTCATTAGAACATTTGCACGGTCTGGCTGTGCTTCCTGATGAAAACCCACTTGACCACGAGACCCACCAAGGCTTCCCTTTCTGTTCAAGGAATCATGCCGACTTTGTCAAGTTACCTTGGCAGGGATTCCCTGCAGTCAAAAAAAAGAAGAAAATTAGCAGGTTTTTGGTTCAAAATTTTTAAATATTACCTAGACAACCTGTTAATGTTTTGGGTTTGTTTTTTGTTTTTTGGGTTTTGTTTTTTTTTTTTTGTAAATAACAATACTTTGTTATGAAGACCTTACAAACCTCTTCTTAAGACATTCTTACTCCAGATCCAGGCAAAAACACTTGAAGGTTTGTAAATGACTATTTCCTGACATAAATTTTTTTTAATTAAAATGCAAAATGTTCTTCAGAATAAAACTGTGTAATAATTTTTACGGTATGAGGGAGCTCTTGCTGCAAAGAGCTGGTGTGGGCCGGTGAGCGCTCCGGAAGGGGCGGGCACTCAGTGAGGGCAGCTCTGGGACTGGGTAGCTTCTTTTATCCTCAGCTCTCCCTCCTTGAGGCCCATGGTCACTCAGCACCAGCTGCAGAGAGAGCACGGTTTCTCCTCAAGGGCTAAGCCACTGTCCCCGTCACCTCTGCTGGGCATTGTTCTGTGTAGCTTCTCAGCAGCAGTCCTACCAGGATGGGTTTTTCTGGCGCAGGCCGCCATTTTTCCCTGTTGGTACTTACAAACTGGCACGCATCCAGGCTGCGCCAGTCCTAACAGGCCTGCGTTCAGCCTCCCATCTACCATGAAAATGTTCTTTTTAAGACCCAGTTTGAAGTTGTCGAGCCACGTGGTGGTGTTTTGCTTTTGTTTTTTTTCCCCCTTTTGCTTCAGGAAAGTTGTAAGATGAACTCTCTCCTGTTTGGCCTCCCTCCCAACCCCCTAAAAAAGGTCATTTTGTTGTGTCCCCAGGAATAGTACATTTGGTTTTGCGTTTTTTGGTATCACAAATGGAAAGGGCAGCTCTGATTGAACGCCCAACCAGCAGGAACCTTGTTAACAGCCTTTTCTCCGGTTTCTATCCAGACGGCCAGGCCAGACGGGGCTTTCCAGCTCTATTCCCCCGTTTTGGAGCCTGGTCGAAGCCAGGAAGCTTCTCGGTTCACGGTGTGGGCTTTACCTGCCTTACTGCTGACCCCACGTTTGTGAAAGGAAGCAGGGTAGTTTACTTCACACTGTTTATATTTTATGGTCTTCAGTGTCCTTGCCAATGGTCTGCTTTCCTACAAAGCTTTCCATTGTTATGACGGACTGTAGGTTTGTTCTAAAAACCGGTCAGCGACAGAGCTCCAGTTCCTTCCCCGACTCAAAAACAGACACCAGCGAGGCTTGCATGTGTTGACAAAGTTTTTATTTCTCCAAAAGGATATTCCTTCTTTCCTGGGGACGTGAGAAGGCAGGAGAATGGGGAGCAGGCCTGGGGCCCCTGCCTCCAACGTGGGAGCACCAGCGAGAGCGGCCTCGTGGCCCTTGATGGCGGCGGGAGAGAGGACTGGGGAGGCTGCCCCGCTCTCCAGACGGGGCTGGTGGAGAGGGCGTGCGCTTTCTTTGGGTTTTTTAAGAGAAAAGGATGTAGGTATTAGATCTGATGTTAACTTGGTGGAGACAGGAAACAGCCTTTGTGGGGCGGAAGAGGGTTTGGCTGGAGACAGGCTCTATTTGCATTTATGGAAATGAGGATTCCCACAGTCAGCCCTGGAAGCAGGAAGACTGGGCATCCAGGAGCCAGGAGCCGGGTACTAGGGCCTGCCGTTTTCTGGTCCAGCTGCTGGCAGGCTGATCTTCCAGCTGTGCCTTCTGTCCCCTGTTCAACCCAGAAGACCCTTCTGCTTGTGCAGCAGCTGGAACACATAGGCTTCTTCGAAGGGGTCCATGCTGGGAGCCTGATCCAGGTACATACCCAGCTCAGTTACACGTTTTCACCCATTGTTTGCAAAGTACATTCTTCCATTTGTTCGTATCACGGGCTCTTCGCTAAGGGGCTTAAATAAGCTTCCTCCCAGGGCTGAGTGCTGACTTGGTGTCTGGGTGCCCCAAGGGCTGCCTGACCCAATGGGCACTCTTCTCCCCTCTCTGGCTTCCTCAGCCAACAGCCCTCTTTTCTGAGGTCCAGGGTTCCCTCATGGCAGTGGAACTTGGTGACAGCCTGCTGCAGCGACACAGGCCAAGGTTCCACTCTGCCAGACGGCTGCATGCTCACCTGTCAGGGCTCGAGCAGCAGCCACACATAAGTTCAATATTCTGCCCTGTGGCTGAACCCCAACAGCACAGCGTTCCGCTCTGACTTCTGTGGGGCCTGGGTGTAGAACACGTACCGTCTTCTCTTCTGAGAACTCATTTCTGCACATGGCTAAATTGTGTGATTGTATGGAACAAGGCTCAGTGACCAAGAGTAGGGGAGGGGCCCAGATGTCATCCGGCCATACAGCATGACGCACCTCCTCTGACGATAGGTCATTCTGCTTATGATGCAGGCACAGTAGCAAACCAGCCGCTGTCCCAAAGACCGAGACCACCGCAGCACACAGAGACCACGGAACGGCATGGCTGTGCCACGGCCACACTCAGGCCTGGGACCCCTCTACCCACCCAACTTGCTACTCGTTGGCCCTCCGAGCCAGAGTCGGTGGGGGGGGGGGGGCCCGCACTGCCCCACTGTTCTTTCAGCCCTGCAGGTGGCGCCGAGGCCCCGAGGATGGTGGATGTGGACCACGGCTGCGGGACAGATGGGGAAGCTCTCTTGGAACAGAAAATAAAGAGGCAGGTAAGATGAAACCAGAGCTACTTCAGATTTGTGAAGGAAGGAGGGGTGTGATGGTTTTCTTCTTCCCATCTTTCTGGAAGGTCTTTCTCACAATGGCAAGTTGTGGCTGTCTGGCCTCCAAGCCATCTCAGTCCACTCTGGTCCTGGGCGAAGGCTGGCATGCCCCCCTTTCCCTCCCCTCCTTGTTCCAGGGCAGGTTTCCAGAGCACAAGTCTTTTCTCCCCTGCCGCAGATGGTGGCTTCGAAGATCTTCCACCCAAAATTCATTTAGTTTTCATTACCTTGTAAGAATAGTCTGGCTAAGGCATCTCCATTCAAAACTCAGTTACTGGATTAAGTTGTTGAATTATAGGAAGTTTAAAGATCAAAGAGCTATTTTAAATACTACTTGTATCTGGTTCCCCCCCGCCCCCCCAAACTCAAATCTTTGCCCATTTATTTTCACGGGATCAGGTATATAGTGTGATTCGACTGTTTTTTTTTTTTCATCAGCCTTGGCTCCATCCCAGTCTGTTCCCATGGATGGCTGCGGAATACGAATTAGCCAGCTTCATCCACTGTGAGTCGCCTCCCCAGGCTGACAGGAAAGCATCCTCTTGGACTAGCTGCTTTGGCTTGGAGCAGAGGTCTGGTCTGTGGGGTTTGCTCTAGGTTTCTAGGTTTCCCTGGTAACAGGAAAATCATTTAAAATGCTAAATCAGGAAACCTATCACAGTGAAGAGACTCTCCAGATTCTTCTCTGAACAAGGTCCAGAAATCGAGCTGTGTTTAGTAAGAATCAGAGCATTGGAGAGGTGGGCCCTCAGAGTGACCCAACTGGGAGGGGACTCAGGAAGCAGAAGAGAAAGAAGCCTGTGTTTCTTCAGGCAGGCAGCCTTCCCTCTGGACTGGGGACACCGGAGGCTTAGGCACGGGCCTCAGCTACAGCTGGCAGCCTGAGGCAGAGGATGCCCCCCACCGCAAGAACCCCGTGCCGTCTAGCCAGCACCCAGCCTCTGGAATGGCTTGCTTTAATTAAAAGGGAGCCCTGAGAGAGAACCACTTCCCTCATGTCCGACCAAGACCCTGGGTTGCAGAGTGCCATGGAGTTTAAGATAAGGCCATGGTGGGAGTTAGCCATACTCCTCCACTGCCCTGCCCCCCAGCCCCCTCTACTGCCCCTTCAGGAGGTGGGGCCGGGGGGGGGTGTGCCCACAGGAAAATGCTGGGGAAAAGAAACCTGTTTCACTGCCTGATACCGGTCTCCCAGCCTAAGCAATTACACATTCTCAGCCACTGAACTGTAACATTCTAGGCAGTTTCAGGAAAGGGCACGGTGGGCAGGCGCTGTGCTGACCCTCTTGACTTGGCAGGAGGCTTCTCGGGCAGTGACCGCCTCAGCGCTGGGTGGCCAGGGTCCCAGGCTTGTAGACAGGGATGTCTTCGTCCCAGAGTGCAGGCTGCCCCTTGATGATGTCTGCTGCTTTCTCTGCGATCATGATTGTGGGGGCGTTAAGGTTGCCGCTGACCACACTGGGCATGATGGAGGCATCGACCACCCTGAGGTTCTGCACCCCAAGCACCCTGGTCTGTGGATCCACCACGGCCGTGGGATCAGAGGGCTGGCCCATCTTGCAGGTGCATGAGGGGTGGTAGGCGCTGTCTGCTTTTGCCCGCACGAAGGCATCTATCTCTTTATCTGACTGCACGTGGCTTCCTGGCTGGAGCTCCTTCCCCCGGAACGGTGCCAGGGCTTTCTGGGCAAAAATTTCTCTGGTCAGCTTCACACACTGTCGGAAGTCCTTAATGTCGGTTTCTGTCAACGAGAAAGAGGTAGGTGAGGCGACGCCTCTTACCAGTGGATTCTGAGCTCGGAGAGGCTCGGTAAGCTGCCCGAGGGGACACAGGTCAGAGCCTACCAACCCTCTGATCCCACAGCCCTGGTGGATCCACAGACCAGGGTGCTTGGGGTGGAAAACCTCAGGGACACGGAGCCACCAGGTCGTTTGTCACCTACTCCCATCCAGTTAGACTGCAACCAAGCAGAGTCCCATGAGGGCAAACAGGCACCGTCCTTGGCGGACACATCCTGCCCCAGAGGCCCTACGTTAAATCAAGGGTAAGAGTATACAGCCTGCCTCTTACCACTGTGGCTGTGAGCACGCCACGAGTCATTACTGAGCAATGGGGAGTGCTCCTTTTTGCTGCAGGCAAAGCGGCAGGCCCAGGAATGTAATCTGCTTTTGCAGGAGGATGCTCAGAGTAACCTCAGCACAAGCGCTCTATGCACTCTGTGCGCA